GACATATTTCGAAATCGCAATCGCCATCTAAAAGTGGGTGATGGCGGCAAGTAAAGATGATGTGGGAATCTGGTGAATAAGTGACCGGAGGAGGCCGACGAGAGATTTTTGGAGATCGTCACCTCGGTAATGGAAGAAGAAGGAGAGAATGAGGGGGCTATGCCCGGTACCCGGTGACTTCTCCCTCGTTGCGCCAAAAAAAGACAATGAGTAGAGGAGAAGATGGACCAACAGAACTTGACGAAGCACAATACTATTGACGCTTCTCTCCTACATCGAAAAAGTACGAAAATGGACGATGTAATCAAACGGATGATCAAAAGTCGCTAGTGAGGAAGTGGACGGGCCATCTACGAAGGTGCCCCTCATATGACTTGGAACATGATCGAAAAAGCAGAAGGTGACAACGGAGGCTTAGAAACCTAAACGCCAGCATCGTGCCGAAAAGAAACGAATGCAACGTCATAGAGTTGACGAACTTCGGCCCCTGGATCGAGGGCCTGCTGCGGCAGCTGCTATGCATTGATGGTCGAGGTATAATCAGATCTGGTGGCGATACATACGTGTCAGAACCAGTTGTGAAGTCGCGTGAGAGTTAAGCTATTGATTGTGCATTCTTCTGATGTCGTGACTGCTTCTTGTGATCGGTCCTTGGCTGTGGGAGGCAGCAAGGGCAGTGGAGAGAAGTTTGCTCGGCTCATTTTCTGGGTCCCATAGTTTATCGTTCTGGCAGCTTCTTCCTCGTATTTGGGTGCATACACCATATCGAATTACCAGCCCGTCTGTGTACAGGAACACAAACAAGCAACCTATATCCCTGCGGACTGGCCAGCCTCCCAAGTCCTATATGCTTCCCTAACCTCGACATTGTACTTCTCCACCTTTCGCTGCAATTGGTGGACTTCTTCTCGCAGAGCTGGTACAAGTTCCAGCTTGAATTTCTGACCCTCGACGTTTGGCACTAGAGGGCAGGCCTCTTCCTACCCAACGCCCGCACGATCACCCCTAGTTCGAGTCCATTTTCGTCATACGGTCGCCGCCTGTCCCCTTCCCCCGCACACTGCATTTACTCTGTCCGTCCATTTCTTGAAACCGTGCGAAAGATTAAGGGCCACATACATGAATGACGACGCCTACAATACTTGTGGAAAGCGGGTGCCCATGTCCAAGCAGGTGTCCGCGTCACGTACCATCGTAATATGCCACCTGGCCTACCTTACAGGAGAAGTGAAAAGCAGTCTTATTGTTCGTTGCACATAAATATATTACTAAATACTATGTGAAATATCCGCGAGCCGCGCTAGTGTCAATGTTGCATAGCTGACATGTAGTTGACCGATTTCTGAAGCCGACCCTTTGGACGAGGCCTCTGCGCATAGAACTACAGCCGGATACGTGGCTGGGTTTGCCGATCAATCCGAGCCCAACCGGGCATACGACGACAGCGGACTAGGGGCGGGCACGGCTCTATCACGAAAACACGCTTGTGCTATTGCCAAGAGTGGGTGCCTGGAAAGTGTATGACATGATGCCCAACGCATCGGGTTGTCTACCCCGCTTGAGGATTTTGGCATAATATAAATAAATGTATGCATGCGATACTCGTCATCGTTCACCATCAAAATATCATCGAGAAATAACTCGTTACGCCACCTTCTGCGGAGGATGGCTTCGAGATTTGCCAATGCAGATGCGGGAGGAAGAGGCAGGGTGGGAGTAGCACTGCGCTGGTTGACCGGTTTAGTCGGGCTCCCATAATGCGATTCAGGTAGCAGCGCGGGACAAGGCGGCTCGTCAACTATCAACGCAACGTTAACCAACTCACAACAAGACCGAGATTGATCAACTCAACGGAGGGAAAGCTTATTAAGCAGCCAACTCACTCAATTAATGACTGAGGTTGAATGAATTGCGTTGATCGCCACCTTGAGCTGCCGTGAGTATATCTGAAGCTGGAAGCTGTAGTGGGACAATGTTCTTTAAGCGACACCACCACGAGTAGCACGAGTAGAGAAGGGCAAGAATGAGCGACGTCTTGGGAGTCGGCACGCTATTCTCGATATCGTCCGTGAAAGTCGGATAGCAGTCGCACATAGGTGCCCTAGTCCAGCTGCGATGACTTCTTAATTTGCCTTCTTTGCGTGGATGGATTCATTCTTGTCGAGTTGTTGTTCAGCACTCGTGCGGGATGGGCCTTGAATAAGAGCTCAGCATCGTTCGATCTGCAGCGCAGAACTGGCCTTGACGTCCTTTTTGTATCTGATGCACTCATCCTAGCCGACGGAACTCATACTCTCTCGGTTACTGTAGATGCGGACTCTTAGTTGCTAGTTCTCGTACACTGTCGCCCGGCAGTTCACGCTACTCGTTCGTCCCGCAGGCCAACAGAGTCGTAATTTCCTGGCGCAATGCGACAACGGCCTTCCGTCCCTCTTCAGCTTCGAAAACCCCGAGCAAGGCTAGGGCATCCGTGAATAACTTGTCAATCTGCGTCATGCTCACTCGTCGGCGATGGACGGCGGCGTGGCGGACATTTGCAACAGAGTGAAGCAATTTAGACGCTGTAACGCCATCGGTTCTCTTCTTGCCAAATAAGTTGAGCTTTTGTATCTCAAACGTCCATTGGTTCAGTTCTAGTGACTCAGCACAAACCTACCCTTTGCGTTGAATAGTATCAGGCATTACCCGTTTGGTAAAGTCATAGCAAGCAACCTTCAAATACCTGCAATTTAACCAGAAGGCTATGTTGCAATGGCGTCGGGAGAGAGAGAAGGCTTGTTTTCAAAGTAGGTTGCCACATTGGCCCCGCATCAACGTGGGCTTGGGACATGGATGTCCTGTCGACTAAATATTTCGTCAAGGAATGTCTTGACAAAATGGAATGCCGGGACAATTTGTATCATATACAAGATTGGGCTGGTCTAATGCGGGCGATTGCGGAGCCAATGCCCGCGGCAATTTCACAGTCGCTACATCCCGGTATTCTTGCGACGACGTCCCCAGCAGCGACGGCGATGTCTTCTGTGGATCCTTCCGCTGTTGCTTATATCAATCTGCATGAGCTGCGCCTCATCTGCCACAGTAGGTATTTGCTGCCCTTCCTTCAGTCTGCCTTGCTGGGAGGTCTGTTTCTCGGGTATTGATGGCGGCTCATCGCGTACAACTTTCCCAGAAGGAGCCGATTCATGGGCTTGATTAATGTGTTCATGGATTGCATTGATCGACTAGTACTCATGTCAGCCTCCACATCGCCTAGTATGCCTCGCACGTAGAGCCCTTACCGATAACTCTTGAGTTGGGTAGTCTAACGCTTGTCTCCAATATAGACAGAGCGACTTGGCGTCATCATGTTCACCGTACGTTTGCTGCACCACTGCACCGCGAATGATGCTCAAAACGCTGATGATATCCACTATAAGTTTAGAGCTCTGCCGTCTTTTTTTTTTCTGCGAAGCTATACACTTACTGTGGTTGCTTGCAATCATCTCGTCGCGGCCATAAAACTGTGAATGCTCTACGGCATGTCCACGGTTGCGGCCAGCTTTGGCGGGTAGGTCATGAGGAGAATACATCCAGTACACTCGCGCGTAAACATGACGCTCATCGGAGGCACGGATCTCAAGAATTTTTGCAACCCAGTTATCGGGAGAACCATTATCGACGTGCACGAAATCACCGACAACGTGCTTTGCATCATTAACTTGGCTATGATTAGCTCCAAAATTCGACACATAATATGACATTATACTTGAAAGTATACTGACGAACGAAACTTCTGTAGCGCGATAGGTCAAACCATGCATCTTGAGGCTCTATGGAGTACAGGACACTCATAGATCGGCGTGTTTTGAATGCGCCCTGCGGTTTGAACGGGGAATCTTGCAAAAGGCCCTCATGTTGGCCTCGCTTAGCACTGTCGCGTCGCTGCAGGCGTTCATCAACTGCCATAATCCGGGTGACTTTAAAAGGGCAGGGAGCATAGAATATCTCATTCGTCGTGCAGCGCTCTTTTTCTGCGCTCGCTTCCATGGCAGCGGCGTACTTGTGAATTGACGTCGTTCTCTGAGTTTGCTGGCCTGTCTCAGCCATCTCCACTGACGCCCATGCCGCGAAGCACCTGTTGCCACAGCAACACCAAAAAGCACGCCCAATCTGGAGCATTCTTTTTCACGTGATGTTGATTTGCTTGGCCGCAACTGAATATAAGATTATACGAATGGTCTGTGGGACGCCCTTCCCTCCAACTCGACTGATGGATTTGCATCACGGCAACCGAACAAATCTCACATCGTCAAGAAGTA